ATCGCTTGAAACTGGGAGGCAGAGGTTGCAGTGAGCTGAGATCGTGCCACTGCACTCCAGCCTGGGCATGAGAGTGAGACTCTGTCCCCCCCCAAAAAAAAAAAAAAATCAAGCCATTCCTGAAGTTGTTACATGCTCTATCATGCCTCAGAAGAAATTCTTTTGTAATGATTTTAATTAATTACCACTGTAACTTTCTGAGAGAGCATGCAGAAAATTTCAGTTCATTTAGAAGCTGCCACTTCAGTGCTGGATGCCTCCCTGAAGAATTTGTTCTTCTGGCTGATATTCCTATAGCCTCAGTTTGAACAAGTATTTTTGCAATTTCTCATTAAATCAGGCTGATGTTTTCTCCTACTTTGAGCCCTATTTTGGTTTCTAGATCTCTAAAAGTATTTCAGATTTTAGGAAGCTGATGGAACTAGAGGTAGAGGCCCCACAGTGGGCCTGATCAAGACCTGACTGCAAACCGTGGCAGTGCCAAATACTGTTGCCTGCACATCGTCATTCTTCCAGGAAGCACCATGGCAGATGCTAGTGGTGTCACAGAGAGGGCACACAGCATTGAGGTCCTTCCTATGTCCCACCCTCAACTGCAATAAAATGGGCATGAATCAGGGTTCTTTCACACATTTCACCAGACCTTTAGAGTTCTAGAATCAACTGATCAGGCTGTGAGACTTTAAGAGTTTATAAACAAGCAGGAATGTTGTAAAGATGATTTTTATTTTTAAAGATAAGGTCTTGCTCTGTTGCAAGACCTTGAAGTGCAGTGGCACAATCATGGCTCACTGCAGCCTCAGCCTCCCAGGCTCAAGTGATCCTCCTACTTCAGCCTCCCTAGTAGCTGAGACATAGGCACACACCATCAATGCCTGTCTAATTTTTAAATGTTTTGAGAGACTGGGTTCCCTATGTTGCCCAGATTGGTCTCAATCTCCTGGCCTCAAGCAATCCTCCTGCTCCCTGCAAAGTGCTGGGATTACCAGCATGAGCCACTGTGCCTAGCCTAAAGATGTTTTTAAATCAAGAAAACATTCTAGATTCTAGCCTATATTTGTGGGGCAAGGAGGCACAAGAGTGTAAGTAGAGACTCCAGCCTGTTCTTGTTTCTCTCCCGAGGCACATACATGGGACATCCCAGCTACCAGCCTAGCCTACCTATCATTCCTTCCCCTAGTCTTGGGGTAAAGGTGGAGGAGAGGCTTGCAGAGGCTGTGGTGGCAGGCGCTGGGCTATCTAGGCACCCTATAAATTCTAGGGCCCAGGAAGCCAGAGGTGGTCAAGCCGTGGATAAGGAGGGCTGGTGGGCATCTGCCCATGATGGGGAAGGAGTATTGGCAAAGCAGAGCCAGAGCAGGGCCTCTAGAGCACAGGGCCCGAGGAGCTCCTGGCTGTCCAGGCCTGAAGGCAGTACTGCTGCATTCCATTTTAACCAACATAAACTAAGTCTTTAATCCTCTTGAAAGGCACCAAATACTGAAAAGGCTGTGGAGGTTTTCTGTACCTTCATGTGGAGAGCAAGTACGCACTGATTTGAAAAGCAGTTGGTGCATCTCCCACACCGTGCTGTTCACTGGTGCCATCCCCTAGCTATTCAGTAGATGGGAGTGGTAGAGACAGCTCCTTTGAATTATGAACTAGCTGGAGAAAAGCAAGCCTGCTGGGGTTCAACGGCTGAGCCTATATTGAGAAGTTCATTTATTGGTTCCTAAAAAACCACCTTAATTCATAAAATTTGAAGTCTTAAATAAATCTACCAAGGTATGTGATGGGGCAAACTCTCCCTATAGAAATAGGCTTCCTGAATCTTCAGGCCTCACTTCAGCCAGGTGGGCAGAATGTAATCGAAGCATGCACAGGAATGTATTCATAGCATGTGGATGATTTAGGTCACTGACGTGCTTGGTCCCAAGGGTACAGTCCGCCCCACCTGACACCATCGCACCAGAGGGTTTCCAGTAACTGGAAGGCTTTTCAGCAAGCCAGAGTTTCTGTCCTGATTTCTTATGCTTAGGTTATTTCTTTTTAAAATCCAATCTGTCTTGCTCTGTGATGTCAGTCTTACTAGAAGTAGAACAAGTCCATACTAGGAAGAAATGTAAATGGTGCACTGTATTTCTCCAAGTTTAACTGTACAGGCTCTTGGAAACTTCCCTACCTTTAAAAAATCAGGGGAAAAGACTCTGGAGAAAAAGACAAGGCGGGGGCAGTTCCTGGGAATTGATGAGGTTTTGGCTTCCTTCTCCTATACCAAAACCAAGTCTTAAGTCATGTATGTCCCATGTGGACTGACAGCCTGAGCAAACACAAAAAAGATGATGTACCATGAGTGGTGGAAGAACTAAATCCAGGTTGCCATTACAGTAGTTTGCTTGTTTTCAACCTTCAAGGCCTAAGGAAGCTTTCCTGGCAGAGTATATCTAAGCAGTGCTGGCTGCTCCAGCAGGTGCCTGGCTGCATGCTACCACATGTAGAATGTCTATGGCCCTACCCAGATGGAGTCTTTATAAAGTTCCCTAGTCTTTCTGCTGTGTAACTAGTCTGTAGAGGTCTTCATTGGACATGTGATGGTTAAAAAAAACTATGTATGAAACAGAGGACAGTTATGGGTTTTTAATTTGATATTTTTCAGATAGCTGAGGTGGTACCCTTTTAAGAATATCAATATTTTGGGAGTCCAAGGCAGGAGGATTGCTTGAGCCCAGAAGTTTGAGACCAGCCTATGCAACAGAGTGAGACCCCATCTCTACAAAAAATAAATTAAAAAATTAGCTGGGCATGTGGTGTGTACCTATAGTCCCAGCTACTTGGGAGGCTGAGGTGGGAGGATAACTCGAGCCCAAGAGATCCAGGGTGTAGTGAGCTATGACTGCACCGCTGCACTCCAGCCTAGGTGACAGAGCAAGACCCTATCTCCAAAAAAAGGAAAAAAAAGAGTGTCAACAGAAAAGAGTTACCATGTCTCCTTCTCTGCTGCCTGCTCCACTTTTAGATCACTGAAGTACAAGTGAGATCAAAGCTAGAGCAAAGTCGTAAACTTTCAGGTCTAGAAAGACTTAGTTCCCTTCTATATATAATGTGAAATGGCTAATTTGCCAGATGGATATGCCTAAGTAATTCCTAAGGACAGTAAATATACATAACTTGGTTAGAGGGGAAGAGAGGGTGAAAATCAAACAAGGTAGAATGGGCCAGGCATGGTGGCTCATGCCTGTAATCCCAGCATTTTGGGAGCCAAGGCAGGCGGATCACGAGGTCAGGAGATTGAGACCATTCTGGCTAATATGGTGAAACCCTGTCTCTACTAAAAATACAAAAAATTAGCTGGGTGTGGTGGCGCAAGTCTGTAGTCCCAGCTACTTGGGAGGCTGAGGCAGGAGAATTGCTTGAACCCAAGAGGCGGAGACTGCAGTGAGCCGAGATCGCACCACTGCACTCCAGCCTGGGTGACAGTGCGAGACTCTGACTCAAAAAAAGAAAAAAAAAGAAAGAAAGAAACCTGGTAAAATGAAGGGAAAACTGTATCTTGGTATAAAATTTAAATTCAAACAAGAATGCTGAAGATCATCACACAGACCTATTCTATACAGCAAAAGGACACAAAGACACGTATACCCATCCATACTTCTAATAAACATCTAGTCAATATATGACACATCAACACAACTCATCCAACTATAATACATATCCCATCACCTCTGATTCACGTTAACTCTCTCGATATCTAGGTCTTATCAGACTCTCTTCCTGTTTTATGTGTAAGGTAACTCAGCTCAGTTACCTAAAGTCATGGCAACATCAACTATTAAGGCTGAGCAGGTGCTAAGGCTCTTCTAATCTTAATTCTCTCATTTTAAGACGGGGGGTTATGTGTCTTGTCTAATACACACGTCTGTCCCCTATGGGCTGACAAGGAGGGCTTTCTTAAGCCTAAGCAAACACAAAAGTGTCAGTGGCAAGACCAAAAGTGGAAATTTGAGTTCTGTACTCCCAGTGAAGTGTCTCTTAGCCCTTGCTATCTTCCTGATGACTTTTTAAATAAAAAAGCTTTTTTTTACTTGTACCTTGTATAAGTAGGAAAATATTTATTTTGAATTGCTTCGACTGGCTTAAGATAGAATATTACATGCTGAATAAAAATATGCTGTAATATATAGACCAAAGTGAATGAAAATATACCATAATATACAACGTGGTCTGTGTATCACGGTGTATTTTTATTCAGCATGCTAAAACTTATGAAGGGATTTATGATCCCTTCTAGGTCACAGGGATCATAGATTTGGGTCATTCACCACTAGAGGGCACTCAGATTTTCCCAGTTAGTTTACAGAGGCTTCCAACTCCAGTGTACAAAATGAATTTTATCAATACGGAGACATTTCCTATCAATAGTAACAAGTAAATAGCCATATCCCCAGAAATATTAAGTGGATACAAACATACTGGTTCTGGGCATTTATATATTAGCCATATCCCCAGAAATATTAAGTGGATACAAACATACTGGTTCTGGGCATTTATATAAATATATATATATAAATGTGTATATATATATTTATATAAATGTGTATATATATATATATTTATTTATATAAATGTGTATATATATATATATATACACATTTAAAAATATAAATTAGGCCCGGCACAGTGGCTCCCAGAACTTCGGAAGGCCAAGGCAGGCAGATCACCTGAGGTCAGGCATTTATGACCAGCCTTGCCAACAGGGTAAAACACTGTCGCTACAAAAAAAAAAAAAAAAAAAAAAAAAAGTTAAAAAAATTAGCCGGGAGGCTGAAGGCTGCAGTGAGCTGCAAGCAGGCCACACCACTCCGGCCTGGGCAACAGAGTGAGACTATATATATATATATAGATATATATATATATAGAGAGAGAGAGAGAGACTATATATATATATGTGTGTGTGTGTGTGTATACACATATATATATAGTATGTGTACATTGGTGTATTTTATATATATATATTTGTATATATATATATAAAATACACCATACAAATACATACATACACACACACATTTTTTTTCTTTTTTTTTTTTTTTGAGACAGAGTCTCACTCTGTCGCCCAGGCTGGAGTGCAGTGACATGGTCTCAGCTCACTGCAACCTCTGCCTCCTGGGTTCAAGCAATTTTCCTGTCTCAGCCTCCCAAGTAGCTAATATTACAGGCACCTGCCACCACACCCGGCTAATTTTGTATTTTTAGTAGAGACAGGGTTTCACCATGTTGGCCAGGCTGGTCTTGAACTCCTGACCCTCAGGTGATCTGCCTGCCTGGGCCTCCCAAAACACTGGGATTACAGGCATGAACCACTGCACCCAGCCTTAAAATTTTTTTTGGAGATAGAGTGTCACTCTGTCACTGAGGCTAGAGTACAGTGGCACGATCTCAGCTCACTGTAACCTCTGCCTCCTGGGTTCAAGGGATTCTTGTGCCTTAGCCTCCTAGGTAGCTGGGACCACAGGTGCGTGCCACCACACCTGGCTAACTTTTGCATTTTTAGTAGAGATGGAATTTTGCCATGTTGGCCAGGCTGGTCTGGAACTCCTGATCTTATGTGATCCACCTGCCTTGGCCTCCCAAAGTGTTTAAATTATAGGTATGTGCCCAGCCACATACATATACACATGCACATGCATGCACGCACACACACACACATACACCTATGTACACATATACACACACATATATAAATTTAATGTGTATGTGTGTTGGGCTGGTATAAAACTCCTGACCTCAGGACCAACAACATAGTGTCTATTATATATATATAAATTAGACACTATGCCCAGAACTAGTAGATTTGCATCCACTTAATATTTTAATACTTCTGGCAAAATGTGAAAAAGTAGGTGTTTGTGCATGTACACACACATACAAATACATGTATGTATATATATATATACACATATAAATATATTAAAATTCATATGTATTTGTTATATTCTAAGGATATTTTATATATATTACTAAACATTTGTTATAATTAATTTACTATTTTAGATTCAAGCCCTGATGTGTTCTTAAAGGACTCAAGTGGTAGGTAGATTTTTGAAGTAAATAATTAGCTTAAAAGTTAACTTGCCTCCCAAACACTCGCACAAAGTCTAGAGGGCTCCTGCCAAAATCTGTGGGCCTGCAGTATTCTAAGCAAATCATGCTTGTTTTGAGGGTCCTTGGATATTGTGATTTAAATGAGATAGAAGAAAAGGAAAAAATGAGAACTTTCTCTTCTATCAAGGCAATGAATGCAAGCCAGGCAATTTCTTTAACCTTCCAGTTTATCAACACTGAAGGCCTTATCCAGTCACTAGGGCATTTCTAGAGATTTATACCTGGAACCCTAGAAATTCAGTTTCTGTAGGAGGACTAAGCACTTTTTTGGCTGTGTTATTTAAATTTTGAAAAAGCCTATTCCATATGCTTAAAGAAAATTAAATTAATAAGCAATAGTTATTAACTGCTATGATAGCACTGTCCTGCCTGGAAAAAAAAATCTTAAGAATCGTCTTGGGCCAGGCGCAGTGGCTCACGCCTGTAATCCCAGCACTTTGGGAGGCTGAGGCGGGTGGATCACGAGGTCGAGAGATCGAGACCATCCTGGTCAACACAGTGAAACCCCCATCTCTACTAAAAATACAAAAAATTAGCTGGGCACGGTGGTGCCTGTAATCCCAGCTACTCAGGAGGCTGAGGCAGGAGAATTGCCTGAACCCAGGAGGTGGAGGAACGGTGAGCTGAGATTGCGCCATTGCACTCCAGCCTGGGTAACAAGAGTGAAACTCCGTCTCAAAAAAAAAAAGAATCATCTTGCTAGGTACGGTGGCTCATGTCTATAATCCCAGCACTTTCGGAGGCCAAGGTGGGTGGATCACCTGAGGTCAGGAGTTTTATACCAGCCCAGCCAACATGGTGATATCTCATCTCTACTAAAAATACAAAAATTAGCTAGGCGTGGTAGCAGGTGCCTGTAATCCTAGCCACTTGGGAGGCTGACGCACGAGAATCGCTTGAACTCAGGAGGTGGAGGTTGCAGTAAGCCGAGATCTTGCCATCGCACTCCATCCTGGACAACAAGAGCGAAACTCCAACACACACACAAAAAAAACATCTTGCTGAAGAAGGGTGATGAGGTGGGGGAGGCATTCTGCAGAACACCTGTACCTCCAGCTGTCTTGTCATAGTTGTTGGTGATGAACACTCTGGATTCTGCTAAATAGTTTTCCTGCCCCACAGCACTTACCTCATAAGTGCTAGAATGTGCTTGCCAAGTACTGTGGAAAACAGTATTGAAAAAGGATACATCTAATTCACTCTGAAAAAGAGAAAAAGAGTGCAAGGGTGAGAACAAAGACACTGGGACCCGTTGCTTTTAGCAGAGTCAGAATGAGGAGACTTCTGCGTCCATAGCAGTGACATCTGCTACCTGCTTCTTGGCTTGGAGGCCACAGCAATCTGACTCTGCAAAGGCCCCACGTTTGGGACTGTAATTTTTTTGAAATTGGCTGTAGTTCAAAGGAATTTTACAAGGCAGTACAATTCATCTTTAGAAAGCAGAGAGAAAAATAAACTAACTCAATCTTTACAGATGTAGGTAATTTGATGTGTGAATCAGAGACCTTAACAATGTTTCACACCCTTTCAATCCACTGATGTTACTTCTGGGAGTTTATCCTCAGGAAAAAATTAGACAATGGCACAATGATATATGACAGGATATTCAGGGTAATGGTGTTTGTAATAGCAAATTATTGATAATAACCTAAGTATCTATCAATGGGGGGACTAATTAAGTAAACCATAGCATATCCACAAATGACATGTAGACATATAAGTACTCATATATTGTTAAATAAAAAAGCAAGTTATAAAATGCATACATAGTATTATCCTTTTTTTTTTTTTTGAGGCAGAGTCTTGTTCTTTTGCCAGGCACCAGGCTGGAGTGCAGTGGAGCAATCTTGGCTTACTTCAACCTCCGCCTCCCAGGTTCAAGCAATTCTCCTACCTCAGCCTCCCGAGTAGCTGAGACTACAGGTGCGCACCACCACGCCCAGCTAATTTTTGTATTTTTTAGTAGAGATGGGGTTTTGCCATGTTGGTCAGGATGGTCTTGATCTCTTGACCTTGTGATCTGCCCGCCTCAGCCTCCCAAATTGCTGGGCTTACAGGCATGAGCCACTGCGCCCAGCCATAGTATTATCCTATATATGTATGTATAAAGGTCAAAATACATATGATTGTATAGCTACAAACAGATACAGAAAGTCTAAAAGGAAATGTACCTAACAGCACTTAGCAATAACTGATGAGCTTACTGATGATCTTCTCACTTAAAAAAATTATTTTATTTTATATTTTGAGACAGTCTGTCACCCAGGCTGGAGTGCAGCGGCATGATCTTGGTTCACTGCAACCTCCGCTTCCTGGGTTCAAGCGATCCTCCCACCTCTGCCTCCCAAGTAGCTGGGGCTAGAGGTGTGCACCACCACACCCAGCTAATTTTTGTATTTTTTGTATATACAAGGTTTTGCCATGGTGCTCAGGCTGGTCTTGAACTCCTGAGCTCAAGAGATCCACCTGCCTTGGCCTCCCAAAGTGATGGGATTGCAGGTGTGAGCCATCATTCCTGGCCAAAGAATACATTACTTTTTTTAGAGCAGTTTTAGGTTCACGGCAAAACTGAGGGGGAGATATGCAGACATCCCATGCCCCCTGCCTCTCTGAGTGTGCAGCCTCCTCCCATGATCAGGATCCTCCACTACAGTGGTACATTGTTAAAACAGATGAACCTATATCATTCTCACCCAAAGTCTACAGTTTACGATAGGGTTCACTCTATTACGGTGTTGTATATTATATGGGTTTCGACAAATGTATAATTACATGTATTCACTTTCCTCTTTCTCTTTGCACATGTATATATATATAGAGAGAGAGAGACAGAGTCTCACTTTTTTGCCAGGTACCAGGCTGGAGTGCAGTGGCAAGATCTTGGCTCACTGCAACCTCCATCTCCCAGCTTCAAGCAATTCTCCTGCTTCAGCCTCCCGAGTAGCTAGGACTACAGGCACGAGCCACCACACCCAGCTAACTTTCTTTATATTTGAGTAGAGACGGGGTTTCACTATGTTGGCCAGGATGGTCTCAATCTCTTGACCTGTGATCTGCCCACCTTGGCCTCCCAAAGTGCTGGGATTACAGGCGTGAGCCACAGTGCCTGCCTCCTTATATGTTTAACATTTTTTTAAAATAAAATAGATATTTATGTAATGAAAAAAGCATGGAGGAAGAAAAAAGTAGAGAATTTAAAATATGAAAGGACTTAGGGTTTGTCAAATGAAGCACCAAAAAATCCCTGATACCACTTCTTCAACAGCAGCAACCCTCACCTCTGGCAAAGCCGCCTCCTTTGAAGCTAAGTGGGTTGGCTTTTTGTTTTAAAAATGTGATGTGAGATGCTTCTCTCAGCCCCAGACAGCATGAGACTGATCTCCAAATTTAAGATTTGGAAATTCTGGAAGAGTAAAAATAGCCACAGAAAGAATGTTTAAAACTCACAAACCTAAAAATAAATCTAGATAACAAGGCCTTCTCTGTGAGGGGACAGATCCTATTTCTTTCCTGTAGTGTTCTTTTCCGTCTTCCTTTTCTTTTTGCTATGGTTTGATCCTAAGCCAAGTCATCCCTTGGTACTGTCCAAGTCCTGCATAATCACCTGGCTGAAATTAAATTCCAATCTTTACATCTATGGTTTATGTGGTCACTGACTCTCCCTAAAATTATATCTATAATTCAGCAATGTGTTATTTATTCTCAGTTACTGAATATAATAATAATAATTGTAAAAACCTTAGCAATGATAGTACTTGTACCCACTTTTATTTTCCTATTAGAACATTATTATTTTGGGAAATTATATTATTCTTCAAGGGTGTCACCCTGAAATGGCTAATCATTGTCAGCTCTGATCACAGACCCTGACTTGCAACCAGTCTAAACAAGAGAGGTGTCATCACAAGGTAAGCAGAAGCTAGAGCTACACTGTCCAATATGGTAAACACCAGACTCACGTGGAGATTTACATTAAGTAAAATTAAAACTTCATTTCCTCAGGTATATTGCATTTCAAGTGCTCAAGAGCCACAACTGGCTAATGCCTACTGTATTGGATGGCACAGGTACAGAACATTCCTATCTCTGCAGAAAGTTTTACTGAACAGTGCTGGTTTACGGTGCTGTTGCCAAGCAATCAATACAGAGATAGATTTTAAAGCCCATCTCTATGCCCTCTGTGTAGGCCAGTCTTTGGAATAAAATCCCATCATTTGCAGAAACATGTATGGAACTGAAGGTCATTATGTTAAGTGAAATAAGCCAGGCACAGAAAGACAAATATCACATGTTCTCATTCATATGGAAACTAAAAAGTAGATCTCATGAAGATAGACATTTAATTGGTGGTCACCAAAAGCTGGGAAAGGAAGAGGGAAAGAGGAAATGAAGAGAGGTAGATTAATGGGTACAAATATTGAATTAGATAGAAGAAATAAGACCTATTACTTGATAAATCAGTAGGGTGACTATGGTTAACAATAATCTATTACATATTTCAAAATAGCTAAGAGAATAATTCAAATGTTCCTAGCAGAAAGAAAATACAAATATTCAGCCAGGAGCAGTGACTCATGCCTATAATTGCAGCACTTTGGGAGGCTGAGACGGGTGGATCACCTAAGGTCAGGAGTTCAAGACCAACCTGGCAAACAAGGTGAATCCCTGTCTACACAAAAATACAAAAATCAGCCAGGTGTGGGGGCATGAGCCTGTAATCCCAGCTACTTGGGAGGCTGAGGTGTGACAATTGCTTGAACTCAGGAGGCAGAGGTTGCAGTGAGCCGTGATCTTGCCTTTGCACTCCAGCCTGGGCAACAGAGTGAGACTGACTCAAAAAAAAAAGTCAGAAAGACAAATATTTAATGTGATGGAGATCCTAATTATCCTGATCTGGTTTATACATTATATGAATTTATGGTATCATCACATGTATTCTGAAAATATCTACGTCTCTTATGTATCAGTAGAAAAAACAAAAATAAAAAACTTACTAAGAAAAAAGAAAGACCCGTAGGTGGAGGGGGATAATGAGGGGGAAATGCTAATGGGTATAATGTTTCTTTGTCAAGTGACAAAATTTCCTAAAATCCTCCCACTTCATCCTCCTGAGTATCTGGCACTACAGGTGCTTGCCACCATACCCAGCTTAATTATACACTTTAAATGGGTGAACTGTATTATACATAAAATATATTTCAATATAGCTATTAAAATGGCTTTTAAAAAGACTTTTGAAAAAGAGCTCTCTTATTTCCTTAAGGGGAATTGACTTTTGACCCTCCAAATAAGGGTTTGGATGGAAATGTTTCTTGAGGTGAAAAGGGTACTGGTGTCTTAGGAAAGAAAGCAGGAAGAAGAAGAAAAGAGAGGGCAAGTTAGATCACAAAAGCTCATAACTGGGAGAAAAATAAATGAGGGTTTTTATTCCAGCTCTTTATAAAGATCTCAGGCGTATGTAGGCTTGTAACACTTTCAATAAACCAGAAGGAAAGATAAAGAAAATTTGGCATAATTTAAATTTTATCTTTTACTTATTAAAACTCTGTTAACACATATTCTTTTTTTTTTTTTTTTTTTTTTATGATGAAGTCTCTCTCTGTTGCCCAGGCTGGAGGGCAATGGCATGATCCTAGCTCACTGCAACCTCCACCTCCTGAGTTCAAGCGATTTTTCTGCCTCAGCCTCCCGAAGTAACTGGGACTACAGGCGTGTGCCACCATGTCCAGCTAATTTTTTTTGTATTTTTAGTAGAGACAAGGTTTCACCATGTTGGCCAGGCTGGTCTTGAACTCTTGACCTCACATGATCAATCTGCCTGGGCCTCCGGAAGTGCTGGGATTACAGGCATGCCCGGTCTTAACACATGTTCTTGATATAGATCCAAAGAGACTCAATTTCTCAGAAACTGGGTTGAGGAAGTAAACCATTTTTTAGCTATCAGACTTACCACTCGGCTGAAATATTCATCTAAAACTTCCACAAAGTTATGAATGAATTCATAAATAGCCATCTCGTTCTGAAATAAAAGAAATAAGGTACAATCAATTTTAGTGTGGCCCTCATGTAAATCAGACATAGAACTTCCCAGTCAGCTTCCAGGTTTTAGAGCATGTGGCTTAGTGAACTGATAATGTGAGTAAAGTAGCCTCCACTGATAAATATTCAGAACCACTCTCTCAGTCACTTGTTAAAAAAATGCTTATCAATTGGGGAAATGTAGATAAACTTTTATCAATAGGGGAAATGTAGATAAGCCTTAACGTTTAGATTTTTTTTTCTTTTTTGGCCTGGTGTGGTGGTTCATATCTATAATCTAGCACTTTCGGAGGCCAAAGTAAGAGAATGGCTTAGAGCCAGGAGTTTAAGACCCACCTAGGCAATATAGTGAGACTCAATCTTCAAGAAAAATTTAAAAACGAGCCAGGTACGGTAGTGTGTGCCTGTAAGTCTCAGCTACTCAGGAGGCTGAGGCAGGAAGATGGCTTGAGCCCAGGAGTTCAAGGCTGCAGTGAGCTATGATGGCACCACTATACTCCAGCCTGGGAAACAGAGTGAGCCTGGAAACTGAGAGCGGTGGCTCACAACTGTAATTGCCACCACTTTGGGAGGCTGAGGTGTAAGGATCACTTGAGCCCAGGAGTTCAAGATGAGCCTGGGCAACATAATGAGACCTCTTCACTACAAAAAATAAAAAATAGGCCAGGCACAGTGGCTCATGCCTGTAATACTGGCACTTTGGGAAGCCAAGGTGGGCAGATCACTTAAGGTCAGGAGTTCAAGACCAGCCTAGCCAACATAACCTCGTCTCTACTAAAAATGCAAAAATTAGCTAAGGATGGTGGCATGCACTTGTAATCCCAGCCACTAGAAGGCTGAGGCAGGAGGATTGCTTGAACCCAGGAGGATCACTTGAAACTGGGAGGCTGAGATTGCAGTGAGCCGAGATTCTGCCACTGCACTCCATCCTGGGTGACATAGTGGGACTCTGTCTCAAAAAAAAAATAAATAAAATAAAAGTAAAAATAGCCAGGTATGTTGGTGCGTGCCTGTAGTCTCAGGTAGTCGGGATCACGAGGCTGAGGTGGAAGGATCACTTCAGACCAGGAGGTCAAGGCTGCAGTGAGAAATAAAGGCACCACTGCATTCTAGCCTGGGTGACAGCCTGTCTTAAAAAAAAATTTAAAGAAATATATATTTTTAAGTCCATGATGCATCTAGCCAGATCAAAATCTTAGTGTCCAGTATTTAGAGTTCTAAGCGATGTGTCCTGACTTTATACCACAATTAGCTGAAGCAATTTTTCAGGTTCTTCATGCCCTCCTTTTTCTATCTATGAAGATGGGGAAACCACTTCAATGTTTGGTTCATGGATAAAAACAACGAACCAATATTTCAGTTAGATCTCCAACATTCTTTGAGGGATTCCGTGGCCATAAGTGCTATTGATCTGGGACTGGCATTTGTGAAATAAATCTGAGGAGATGTAATCACAATACAATCATCTTTACAGTTTTCTCTGGCTTTTGATATGTCAGCCCATGTTTAATGCCAAAATCAGTTGGCCTCTATACTTATCTGAGCTGTTTCATTGTGCAAAAGAACAAGGGCAGGGCACTGGTATTGCTTAGGACAGGAGAAGGCATTCTGTGTTTTGGGGCTTCTCTATTTTGTAAGCTGCTCATCTAATCCAAGAAACATCCTAGATATTTCTCTTCCACACAGCTTTCCCCATCCTTGCTAGAAACCAAGATCCGGCTGGGCGTGGTGGCTCACGCCTGTAATCCCAGGACTTTGGGAGGCCTAGGTGGGCGGATCATCTGAGGTTGGGTATTTGAGACCAGTCTGATCAACACGGAGAAACCCTGTCTCTAGTGAAAATGTAAAATTAACTGGTGGTGGTGGTGTGTGCCTATAATCCCAGCTACCCGGGAGACTGAGGCAGGAGAATTGTTTGAACCCAGGAGGTAGAAGTTGCAGTGAGCTGAGATCACGCCATTGCACGCCAGCCAGGGCAACAAGAGTGAAACTCCGTCTCAAAAAGAAAAGAAAAGAGACCAAGATCCTAGCCAGGCACAGTGGCTTGTGCCTGTATTCCCAGCTACTTGGGAGGCTAAGCCAGAAAGATTGCTTGAAGTCAGTTCTAGACCAACCTGGGCAACACAATGAGACCCCGTCCCTAAAAAAAAAAAAAAAGGAAAAAATTAGTTGGGCTTAAGAGTGTGAGCCTGTAGTCCCAGCCCAGCTAGTCGGAAGGCTGAGATGGGAAGATTGCTTGAACCCAGGAATTCAAGGCTGCAGTGAGCTATGACTGTGCCATTGCACTCCAGCCTGTCTCTTGGGAAAAAAAAAACCCAAGAGAGTCATAAGTCTTAAGGAGGCAAAAAAATTCTTGCATTTCCCAAGGACTCTTCTGTTACCTTACCTCAGTGTCATTAACTCCAACCACAATGAAGAGAGCTGCATACTGCCGATATATCAACTTAAAATCCTTATATTCAATGAAAGAGCACTAGACAAAACACAATGAGATATTAATTACTGTGGTTGAGAGAGAGTTCTTTAAAATGTCATGCACAAGTTCTAGGTTCTGATTTGAGTATCTGACAAACATTCCTAGAAATCTAGAATATTAAGATGTTACACAACCATTGGTGGCCTTCTCACAACATTCAGGGGACCACCTGGAAGCACCTCTAGCCGGAACTGGAGAAGTCCTGGAAAAAAGTCTGAGCGTTCACATGGGTTCCCACTTGTACTGCTTCTCATTCCTTTGCCTGGCTCTCTGTAGAACTCAGCAGGCAAAGATCATTAATAATCAGCATTTTAAAGCTCCTCTGAAGCAAAAATAAGCAAACATTATAAAGAAGATTTTCTTCTGCTCACTTCCCCAAGACTTTTTTGGAAGCAATTAGATATTCTCAGTTTTGTACTACTTAATAGTCACTGAGGAGCCAAATACACAGTGCAAACAAACAAAAACTGGTTGCTTTTTTCTAGACCCATGAAAAGAACATGTAGATTATTTTATATATTATTTAAAGATGGCCTTTTTGTGGTAGACACTAGACAAAATCTCCCACTCTAAACACTGTTTCATATGAATTAGTAACTAGCCTACCACCACTGACACATGGATAAAACTCCCTTCTCATTCATCTGTTTCCTTTTCTTTATTTTTATATAATCGAGATGGGGTTTTACCATGTTGGTCAGGATGGTCTTGAACTCCTGACCTCAAGCAATCCACCCGCCTCGGCCTCCCAAAGTGCTGGGATTACAGGCGTGAGCCACTGGGCCTGGCCTCATTCATCCCTTTCCTATAGCCTTTGTACAAAGAGCTACAGGAAGGCGCTGAGTGGATGTGAGGTGGAAAGCAGGCAGAAGCACAGGGTTATTCTTCTGGACCTTAGGGTGTGCCTGACCAAATGTGATTGAACATGAACTTTATGGCTTTATGTACCAGGATGTGTTGCTCTTGAGTGCCCAGATGTACCTGGGAATGAAGCTGCAAGTTTTGATCATGGAAATTCCTCTATGGGAAAACCATCTGACAGTCTACAAAATGGAAGAATTCAGGCTTTTATTTAAAATTAAGATAAAGGTAATGAGTACAGAAGTATTCTGTAGCTTTTGGCTCTCTGTAGAGCCAGGGTGATCTCTGCTCAGCTGGATCTTTCAAGGAAACATAATCTATTTGAAATTTTCTTTTTTTTAATTTTTATTTTTTTTAGTAGAGATGGGGTTTCACCATGTTGGCCAGGCTGGTCTTGAACTCCTGACCTCTGGTGATCCACCTGCCTTGGACCTCTAAAGTGTTGGAATTACAGGTGTAATCCACTGCGCCTGGCCTTAACCTCTGTTTTGGAAGATGGATAGATTTGTTGTTTCATATGAATTTTTAATTACCATTTTCCTCACCTACATAATAAAATAAGTTAAAATCAAATTTGTTTTGTTTTTAAAATCACTGGCTTCAGTATTATATTGGTGGTATATTTAAAAAAATCATAAGCGGAATAAAACCATCCCATCTGAGAATATTATTATCCTCTGGCACAAAATGGGTCTTCAGTATTCACCTCTATACCAATCATCTGACACCTTCATTTTACCTCTATACCAATCATCTGACACCTTCATTTTTTGGCTTATAGAAAGCCAGCTGCTACAGGCACTCGTGAGAGTTCCAAGGGCTGAACTCATATGAACAAAAACAGAAGAGATGTCTATTAGCAGAAGGAAATTTTCTTGATGTTTCTGAGGTGCACTGAGACAAGTATGCTGACTTAAATAAGAACCCAAGATTCTTCCAAGTTTTCCTTATTTTTATTTTCTTAAAGGGATGTAGAGAGCTACGCTTATTTCAGCTTTCATTTCACATCACTTCTTATTTCCTGTAGATGCTGCTGAACGAATATAGCTCAAAGAAAATGATGGCCTCTGAGACTCAGTAATAACAAATCTGCAAGGCTGAGCTGAATGCAGAGATAAAAGAGAGGACCAGGGACTTACTTGTTCATTGGATCGAGAGAGACAGCTCTTTATGACTTCTGTTTCCAGAAACGTACGCTTATTAATATCCACATGTTCATAGTACTTAGAAAGTCGAGTCTGCCCTTGTTTATTCACCATGAGGAAAAATTTTATCATTTTTCTTTCCTGGCCAGTATTTTTCCAAATACAGTTCAAAAGTTATATAAGGGATGGCTGTAATTGGAACCTTGAAGACAAAACAAAACAAAACAAAAAACAGAAAGACAAGATCAAATTTCTCAAAGAATTATATTAAATCTGTTTTATAGATAAACAGTAAATAAAGTAGTAGTAAATATCATCTGATAATATCACACTTCATTCCTATGATTTGAGGTTTTAATAAATAAAAACCATTTTCATCAGGTATCCTCTAAAACATTTTTTTTTTAGTTTTTTATTTATTCCCTCTAAAACAATTATGAGCAACTGCAGCACTTCTATTTATATTCATTCAATTTACACATTATTTTTCTGGGTAAAAAAGATGTGTCAAGCACCAGGAGAATATGGAGATGAAATAGTAAGGATTTCTGATCTGATTTTTATACCTAGCAAAGGTGCTAGGTAGGTAAACAACAGCAGTACAAGGTGATGAGTTATAACTGAGCTTCCATGGGTGTACAGGAAGAAGGGTTAAGGAATGTCACAGAGTGAAGAACTGCTTCTCAGAGAAGGGACACTGGTGTGAATAATGAGCTACAGGAGAGGACTGAGGCAAAGAAAACGAGTATGAAAGCTCTGGAAAGTTCACTGGGGCTGCATTTCAGGGCATGGGAAGAATAGTTGCAGGAAATTAAGCTACTCGCATATGGTATATTTGGCTTGAGAAGTCATGCTAAGGAATCTGAGCTTTATTTTATGGGCAATGGAGACAAGATCTATAATAAAGCTTTTCTTTCCTTAGTGGTGGAAATAATAGTAGTAATATCAATTTGTCAAATTCCTCCAGGCCCTGTAACAAGCTCCAGGAGGTTCTATGCTGAGCAATTCTCACAATTGTTTGAGGCAGGTACTTCTGTTATCCTTATTTTATTTTTGAGACAGGGCCTCACTCTGTCCCCCAGGCTGGAGTGCAGCAGTACAATCTCAGCTTACTGCAACTTCTGCCTCTGGACTCAAGTGATCCCCCCATCTCAGCCTCCTGAATAGCTAGGATTATAGGCATGCACCATCATGCACAGCTAATTTTTTAACTTTTTGTAGAGATGAGGTTTCACTATGTTGTCTAGGCTGGTCTTGAACACTTAGGCTCAAGTCATCCTCCTGCGTTGGCCCCCTACAGTGTTTGGATTATGGGCATGAGCTACTGTATCTAGCCTGTTATCCTTATTTTAAGGTCAAGCAGATTAAAGTTTAGAAATAAGACACCCAGCCAGACGTGGTGGCTCACGCCTGTAACGCCAGCACTTTGGGAGGCCGAGGCAGGCAGATCTCTTGAGCTCGGGAGTTTGAGACCAGCCTGAACAACAAAGTGAGACCCCGTCACTACAAAAAATATAAAAATTAGCCAGGCAAGGAGGCATGCACCTGTGGTCCCAGCTACTCAGGGGGCTGAGGCAGGAGAGAATCGCTTGAACCTGGGAGGCAGAGGTTGCAGTGAGCCAAGATGGTGCCACTGCACTACAACTAAGGCAGGAGAATCACTTGAGCTGGGGAGGTGTAGGTTGTAGTGAGTGGAGATTGTGCCACTGCACTCCAGCCTGGGCAACAAAGCAAGACTCTGTCTCAAAAAAGAAAAAGAAAAGAAATAAGACACCCAAAGTCACTGCATGACTTTGTGTCAGAGGCGGGCTGCGGTTCAAAGGCTAAGCACACACATGGTCCATGACACCCCTAACTCATCCTCATCATTCAGGGTTCATGCTTGTGCTGTTATGTCTAACTCAGTTGTATTGAGCCTGTGTTTCTCTTACACTCAAAGATTTTGGAAAAATCAATCCAAGTGAGCATAATATTGACCAATGGCCAGTCCTTCTTTCATCATGACCATCAGAGCTGGCTGGTTTGGCTCAACTGACAATATTGTATTCACATTTTGTAATATCTGTGAGAATCAGTGCAAAAAACCAAGATGAACAATGGTTCTTTTTTTTTTTGAGGTGGAGTTTCGCTCTTGTTACCCAGGCTGGAGTGCAATGGCGTGATCTTGGCTCACCGCAACCTCCGCCTCCTGGGTTCAAGCAATTCTCCCACCTCAGCCTCCCGAGTAGCTGGGACTACAGGTGTGCACCACCATGCCCAGCTAATTTTTGTATTTTTAGTAGAGACAGGGTTTCACCATGTTGACCAGGATGGTCTCGATCTCTTGATCTCGTGATCCACCCGCCTCGGCCTCCCAAAGTGCTGGAATTATAGGTGTGAGCCACCACGCCCAGCCCGATGAACAATAATTCTTAAATGAACTTTAACATTTGAAGTTTTAGATTTATAGTAAAGTTGCAAAGATGGCCATTGTTAGCTTCTCATACTACCATGGTACATTTGCCAAAACTAAGAAATCAATATTGGTGCATTATAATTAACTCCAGACTTTATTTGAAGTTCATTAATTTTTCCATTAATGTCCTCTTTTTGTTCCTGCATACCATCCAGGATATTATAGTATATTTAAGAGTCATGTTGCATTAGTCTGTTCTGGTCTGTGACAGTTTCTCAGTCTTCCTTGTTTTTCATGACTTTGACAGTCCTGAGGATACTGGTCCAGGCTGGAGTACAGTGGTACAATCACGGCTTACTACAGCCTTGAACTCCTAGGCTCAAGTGATCCTCTAGCCTCAGTCTCCCAAGTAGCTAGGAGTAGCTGGGACTACAGGTACATGTCACCATGCCCAGCTAATTTTTATTTTTGAGATGGAGTCTCACTGTGTCACCCAGGCTGGAGTGCAATGGCATGATCTCAGGTCACTGCAACCTCTGCCTCCCAGGTTCAAGCAATTCTTCTGCCTCAACCTCTCAAGTAGTTGAGATTACAGGTGACTGCTTGTGGGAGGATCACCTGAGGTCAGGAGTTTGAGATCAACCTGGCCAACATGGTGAAACTCCACTCTCTACTAAAAATACCAAAATTAGGCCAGGTGCAGTGGCTAATACTTGTAATCCTAGCACTTTGGGAGGCTGTGGAGGGCGGATCATTTGAAGTCAGAAGTTCAAGACCAATTTTGCCAACATGGCAAAATTCCATCTCTACTAAAAACACCATAAAATTAGCTGGGTGTGGTGGCATGCACCTGTAGTCCTAGTTACATGGAAGGCTAAGGCAGGAGAATCACTCAAACCTGGGAGGCGGAGGTTGCAGTGAGTTGAGATCACACCACGGCACTCCAACCTGAGAGAGAGAGAGACTGTCTCAAAACAAACAAAAACCAATAATTATCCAGGTGTTGTGGTGAGCACCTGTAGTCCCAGCTACTCGGGAGGCTGAGGCAGAAGGATCATCTGAACCTGGGAAGCGGAGGTTGAAGTGAGCCGAGATTGTGCCACGGCATTCCAGCCTGGGTGAAAGAGGGAGCCTGTCTCAAAAAAGAGTGGAGTCGAGACTTTCCTTTATGATTCTCCCTATTTCACTAGATGCCTGAATGTCCTTTATTCACATGTCATCCCATGAACCTAGTGAAATAAGCAGATTGTATGGAAGAATAGGACCTTTGTCCAATGAGTGGTTCTTGGACTAATTAGAATCCCAGAGAAATGGAGGCTGGGGAACACCATGATAGAGGGTGGGTCCCACTGTGCACTGAGCTAAGCAGCTTAGGCAAGCTGGAAACCAGCAAGTATTTTTCTTTGGGGATTTTGCCTGCTTGAGGAGATAGGAGGATGCACTGCTTAAAAACTCAGACTTAAGACAGACCTGGCTCAAGTCTTGGCTTTGCCACATACCTGCCATGTGACTCTTAAGTTGCTTGCGTTTTCTGAACCCCAGGGGGATGGCTACCTCTGAGGTGTGAGAGTGAGATAAGGTAACACAAACAGCACTTAGCAAAAGGGCTGGTCTACAGTAAATGTTCACTTTACAACTGAGCTGTTTTCGTTACAGTCATCCCTTGGTATTCAGGGTACTGATTCCAGGACTGCCCTGAATACAACCAAATCCATGCATACTCAAGTCCCGCAGTAGGCCCTGTAGAACCTACACACACAGAAAGTCAGCCCCCCATATACTGGGGTTTTGCATGCCACAAACACTGTATTTTCCATCTGTGTTCGGTTGGAAAAAAAGCTGCATATAAATGGATCTGTGCAGTTCTAACTGTGTTGTTCAAGGGTCAACTGCATTATTTCCTTGCTGCAACTGGAAACGACATTATGATATAATACTTGGACTAAGTTTTATATATATATGTTTTGTCCTTCCAGCTCATCTCATTTCCTAAGCCCTATCAGACAGGTGATTATCTTACAGCAATTCTAAACTCTTAAGCTGTAAAAAGTCAGCCCCAGTATGGCCAAGCCTGAGGTTGCTGTGGCCATTCCCTGTGCGGAACAGGATGTTATCTAGACCAGCTCAACTGGGCATATAACAGCTGTGCCATGAGGGAGGCCTGTGACCATTCACTCCCTTTTCCAGGAAGATAAGCTCATGGCTGTGGGTGGGATTGCAACATACTCTGTGGTGTTTAATCATTTGGTATCAAGTGCTGCTTTTGTTTGCCTCACAAATTATTGTCAGTAAACTATGGCAGGTTACCAGGAAGTTAAGATTACCATCCTTTCTTTTACTCCTTTTCAGCAAAGTTATTTAAAAACAATCTTTATGATAGTTAGAAATTATAATCCTATACCTTGGATTTCAACTGCCAGATAAAAGGAAAAAAATGTCTCAAAGGTACTCATGGCCAAACCTTTGCCTTTAAATGTCCTGCTTGCATTAAGTGGTAAAATGAGATGTAAAAAGATCTCATTGAGGTGTTACATCAAGGGATCAAATTGGTTTCTACCTTACAAGCACAGCATTCCTTACCACTGACTTCAAGAGCAAGGATGACAAGTAAGGACATGTTGAATTGATACTCATTAGGATGCAAGTTTTGAAAAGAGTAAATGAAGGCTTCTCAAGACTTGGATACATCTTTCTTTTCTTGCATGCTCTTAAACATTTGACAGTTTTAACTGTAGCATGATGCTGTGGTAAAAAAACTAGAGAAACACAACTGTAAACTAGTTCTACTATAAAATATACAACGCCAAAATAAACAATGTAGAGACTCCAGAGACAGGACATGTCTGAGAACTAAAGATGAATGCTGTAAGCACCTCTCATGGTTATTAATCATCAAGGAGGAGGGAGATGAAATAATTATGAAACTGAGATAGGACAGTAAGAAGGAATATGCTTAGACAAGTGTTGGGAGTGATCAGGGAGCAGGTATGAACTTCCTGTTTTAAACTATTTGCATTTAGGCCAGGCGCGTGGCTCGTGCCTGTAATTCCAGAACTTTAGAAGGTCGAGGCAGGCAGATCACAAGGTCAGAAGTTCAAGACCAGCCTGGTCAATGTGGTGAAACCTTGTCTCTACTAAAAATACAAAAAAAATTAGCCGGCCGTGGTGGTGCATGCCTGTAATCCCAGTTACACAGGGGGATGAGGCAGGAAAATCGCTTGAACCCAGGAAGTGGAGGTTGCAGTAAGCCAAGATCATGCCATTGCACTCCAGCCTGGGAAACAGAGTGGGACTGTCTCACCAAAAAAAAAAAAAACCACACACACCAAAACAACAACAACAAAAAACAACTATTTGCATTCAGTGACACACATGGGCCAGGTGCGGTGGCTCATACCTATAGCAGTTTGAGAGGCCATGTCATCTCTACCAACAAAAAGGGGGCGAAAAAAAAGCCAGGCATCATGGTGTGCACCTATAGTCCCAGCTACTCAGGAAGATGAGGTGGGAGGACTGCTTGTGCCCAAGAATTGGAGGCAGCAGTGAGCTATGATCACACCATGCCAACTCTGGCCTGGGCTACAGAGAGAGATCTTGTCTCTAAAGACACACACACACACACACACACACACACACACACACACAGAGCTGGGGAAGATGTTTTGATGACCAGGAAGGAAGTCAGGAGATGCTACACCCAAAAGCTTGTGTGAATGCATGTATATATACCAATGAAGAAGAAGGCAACTTCATAGGGGAAAGCATTATACAAATGCTGCTAGGATGCCCTAGCAACAGAATCTAGAAAACCCCAAGAGGAAAAGAATGTTAAGATTACTTACAGTAGGAATCAAACAAGCATTTTCCTTGGATTAGCATGAACATGCTTTCAAGACTAGTGAGGTTGGTAGATTCAGAGTAGAATATGGGGCCAGGCGAGGTGGTTCACGCCTGTAATCCCAGCACTGGGAGGCTGACGTGGGTTGATCACCTGCCACTAGGAGTCGGAGATCAGCCTAGGCAATATAAGAGACCTTGCCTCTACAACAAAAAAACAAACAAAAAAAACTGAGCTGGGTTTGGTGGTCCATGTCTGTAATCGCAGCTACTTAGGAGGGTGAGGCTGAGATCAGGAATTCTAGGCTACAGTGAACTATGATTGCTACAGTGAGCTATAGCATGGGTGACAGATGAAGACCCTATCTCTAAAAACCAAGCAAACAAACAAAAACAAAAACAAAAAACCGGCTGGGTATGGTGGCTCATGCCTTTAATCCCAGCACTTTGGGAAGCCAAGGTGGGTGGATCACCTGAAGGCAAAAGTTCAAGATCAGCCTGGTCATCAGGGTGAAACCCCATCTCTGCTAAAAATACAAAAAGAATTAGCCGGGCATGGTGGCAGGCATCTTTAATTCCAGCTACTCAGGAGGCTGAGGCAGAAGAATTGCTTGAACCCAGGACATAGAGATTGCAGAGAGCCCAAATCAAGCCACTGCACTCCTGCCTGGGCAACAAGAATGAAATTCTGTCTCAAAAACAAAAACAAACAAAAAAAGCCAGGCATGGTGGCTCACGCCTGAAATCCTAGCACTCTGGGAGGCGGAAGCAGGTGGATCACCTGAGGACAGGAATTTGAGACCAGTCTGGCCAACATTGTTAAACCCCTTCTCTACTGAAAATACAAAAAAATTAGCCAGGTGTGATGGCAGGCACCTGTAATCCTAGCTACTCAGGAGGCTGAGGCAGGAGAATCACTTGAATCCAGGAGGTGGAGGTTGTAGTCAGCCCAGATGACGCCACTGCACTTCAGCCTGGCAACAGAGTGAGACTCCATCTCCAAAAAATAAATAACAAAGTAAAAACAAAACAAAACAAACAAACAAAAAAACAGTAGAGTATGATCAGATTCATGTCCCAGCACCCACATAATATAAACTTAATGCCCAGAGAAAAGAGAGATTAAAAAGGCTGAATAAACACTGAATTCAGCAGGTATCATATTTCTGATGGTATACTTCTGGGAGTTAGATCTAGGAGTGTCTTTACAGATTGTCACATCCAAAGATGGCAAATGGGTTTCTACTTGGGTATCAACTGTGACTAACTGTAATAGCTGCTTTGGGAAGGATTCTGGAGCTGCTTCCAGGTTCAAAACAAAAGGATGACATGCATGATTACTTGTCAGTTGTTGGTATGGAAGCAGGAAGTGGCAACATATGCACCTTATATGTGTCATCCCTGAGGTGTACTCCCTTCATTTTGTAGATGGGAAAACTCATCAGAGATGTAGAGTGAAGTCCTGAATTCTGCTCCCCTGACTCATAATATAATGCTGTCTTTAATCTATTATATTGTGTCACTCTGCATATCAGTGTCATTAAATGTTCACTTAAGCTTTTTGTTTGTTCTCTTTTTTGAGACAGGATCTTGCTCTGTCACCCAAGCTAGAGTGCAGTGGCACAAACACAGTTCACTGCAGCCTTGACCTCCTAGTCTCAAATAATCTTCCCACCTCAGCCCCCAAGTAGCTGGGACTACTAATTTTTGTCTATTTTGTAAAGGCAAGGTTTCACCATGTTGCCCAGTCTAGTCTCAACTCCTGAACTTAAGTGATCCACCCGCCTTGGCCTCACTAAGTTCTAGGATCATGTACGTGAGACATCACACCCAGCCAAATGTTCACTTGAGCTTAGTGAGCATTAACTTCAGGTAGCTTTGGCTGTGATCAAGTCATTATTCTCTTTTCTAATGCTGCTGCAAAATTAATCTAGAAAATGCCAAACAAATCACGGCATGAAAAAGTACAGTATGTAGCCAGGTACATACATCCGTATTATCAGCTACTTGGGAGGCTGGGGTGGGAAGATTGCTTGAGCCCAAGAGTTTGAGGCTGCAGTACGCTATTATCATGCCTGTGAAAAGCCACTGCATTCCAGCTTGGGCAACAGAGAAAGACTCTCTAAAGAGAAAACAAAAAGTAGAGTATGCAGATTTAGAATTGAAAATGATAAGACTGGTCACGGTGGCTCATACTTGTAATCCTAGCACTTTGGGAGGCTGAGGTGGGCAGATCACTTGAGGTCAGGAGTTCGAAGCCAGCCTGGCCAGCATGGTGAAACCTTGCCTCTATTAAAAATATAAAAAAATTAGACCAGTGTGGTGGCAGGTGCCTGTAATCCCAGCTATTTGGGAGGCTGAGGCAGAAGAATTACTTGAACCTGGGAGGCGGAGGTTGTGATGAGCCAAGACTGTGCTACTGCACTCCAGCCTGGGTGACAGAGCAAGACTCTGTCTCAAAAAAAGAAAACAGGCCAGGCGCGGTGGCTCACGCCTGTAATCCCAGCACTTTGGGAGGCCAAGGCAGGCAGATCACGAGGTCAAGAGATCAAGACCATCCTGGCCAACATGGTGAAACCCCGTCTCTACTAAAAATACAAAAAAATTAGCCAGGTGTGGTGGCATGCACCTGTGGTCCCAGCTACTTGGGAGACTGAGGCAGAAGAATCGCTTGAACACAGGAGGCGAGGTTGCAGTGAGCCAAGATTGTGCCACTGCACTCCAGCCTGGTGACAGAGCAAGACTCTGTCTAAAATAAATAAAAAGAAAATGGTATTTGATGATAATTAACATTCTTTCTAGCTCTAAATGCTTTTTATGTACCCCCAAATCATAATATTGTAATACATACACACAAACACTAAGGTAATATCAGACAAAAACATTTCTTTTTTGCCTCCTGAAAAGTGATTTAAATTAAATCTCCAAAGTTAAAAAGCGAATTTCCACCCAGAAAACATGTAGTACTAGTACAGTATAGCATAGTAGTCAACAGCATGAACCGGAGTCTGACTGCTCGCCTCTACCACTTAGTTGCTTTGTGACCTTGGACAAGATACTTAATCTATTTGAACTCAGTCTTCTGTACATGGTCACAGTGACAGTACTCACTTCCTAGGTTGTTGTGAGGATTAAAGGAGTTAGGATATGTAACACTCCTAGAACAGGCAAGGCAGCTGGCTCACAGTGAGTGCTACATAAGGGTTAGCCAGTGTCATCATGATAACATGTTGTCTTTTCCCCAGTTAAGCTTTTCCTGCCTATTCCAATCCTCTCTTCCCAACTATAAAGAGCAATAATCCCATCTATAGTCTACATAACAACCATTTTATTGCATGTTGAGATCCCCTACCAGAAAACTAATTTAGACTTCTAAAGCTGTGACTGTAAGAGGAAGATTTTACATTGTGACCCAGTATACGAATACATATATTGTAAATATAAAATGTAATATATGTATTATATTATTTACATGATGTACAGAGATACACCTTGACAGTTTTGAAGAGTACTGGTCAGGTAGTTTAAGGAACGTACTTCTATTGGGATTTGTCTCATGTTATTATTAGACAGAGGTTACATCTTTTTGGAAGAAAGAACACAAAGGTAAAGTGCCATTTTCATTGTATCATGTCAAGGGCACATACTATCAATATGACCTGTCACTGTTTTTTGTTTGTTTTGAAATAGAGTCTTGCTCTGTCACCGGGACTAGAGTGCAGTGGTGCAATTATGGCTTACTGCAGCCTTGAGATCCTGGGCTCCAGTGATCCTCCCACATCAGCCTCCCAAGTAGCTGGGACCACAGGCATGTAACTCCATTTGCTGCTAATTAAAAAAAATTTTTTTTGCAGACATGGGTCTATGTATGTTGCCCAGGCTATTTGTTAATTTACTCAATTATTAATTCATTTAAGTATGGACTCACAGATATTTTATTTTATACTGTGGGTTATAATATAATATGACCGGCACAGTGGCTCACGCCTGTAATCCCAGCAGTTTGAAAGGCTGAGGCGGGTGGATCACCTGAGGTCAGGAGTTCGAGACCAGCCTGACCAACATGGAGAAACCCATCTCTACTAAAAATACAAAAAATTAGCTGGGCATGGTGGTGCATGCCTATAATCCCAGATACTCAGGAGGCTGAGGTAGGAGAATCACTTGAACCCGGGAGGTGGAGGTTGCGGTCACGGTGAGCCGAAATTGCACCATTGCACTCCAGCCTGGGCAACAAGAGTGAACCTCTGTCTCAAAATAATAATAATAATAATAGTAAAATATTATGACCCACTGATTTTTAATTTCAGAACTTGCTAACAAGACTGTGAGTCAAAATTTGAAAAACATTATACCAGAACATGAACTTCTTCTAGTGGGTGGAACCTATACCTTACTTCAGATCCTCGCACAGTGCCTAATATACAGTGATCATCCAATAAATGTTTACTGAATAAATGAAAGAATGAATTAAAACTTTTTCTAGCAATAACTATTCCTTTAAAAAAGTCACACAAGTATTCTAACAAAGCAGAAACATAAAACACCCTCATATCCTCATTCCCGCCCCAAATCCCATTCATTTTCCCAAAGATATATCCACTGTTTTTAAGTTTAATGCATATCCTTTTAGACCTTCTCTGTATATCATGCAAATATGTATGCAAATGTAGTAACTTTATTTTTTTTTAACATAAATGTGATACACTGATGAACTCTAAAATGTCTTAGTAACTATTCTCTTCTGGTGTCTTTAAATGAACCCATTCCACTCACAAAGTCCTGGCTGGATCCCATGAAAGGTCACTAACGGCCAGACATGGTAGCTCATGCCTTCAATCCTAGGGAGGTTGAGGCAGTAGGATCACTTGAGGCCAGGAGTTTAAGACCAGCCTGGATAACATAATGAGATACTGTCTCTACCAAAAAAAAAAAGAAAAAGTCACTAAAAAGATGTGTTTTAGAATTTAGAGTTCATCCAAAGGTCCTCCCATTTCCCAACTTATTCAGGCTTTCTGGGGTTTTTGTTCCCTTCATTTGATACAGTGCCCTGGCTCCCATTCCTTCTCTGGCCTCTCTTCTTCGTGACTTGATTTGGATTTCTTCTTCTAGCTCTGGCTTGGGCAATATTCCAGGACTTGACCTTTGGTATCTGCTCTCTGGCCATCATCCCGGGAGCCTATGGCACCCAGCCCTTGCACTGT